TGATCACCTGGTTCTGACTTTACCCCACCGGCTGTTGCACATGCTGTACTGACGGTTTAGGATTGTACTGTACTTGATTCATAGTAGTTCTTTGAGCCTGTTCAGATGAACCCTGAACTGTCTGGACATCACCACTACCAGCTGGTGCTGCTTCTTGATAGCTGATACCGACTTGATTGGTCCATTGGGTCGACGGATCTAGAATGTTGTAATAAGCCGGTCCGCTATGACCCACTGGAAATCCATGAATCGCCTCTCTCATGGCATTGTGGAATATGTCCACGAAAGCTTCGTTATGGCTTGATATGGTATCACAAACAGATTTGTCCACAACTTCCTTAAAGAAACGTCTGTCTTCATCTTTAGTTGTATTTGTCTGCCTGTGTAATAGAACTCTTGGTAGTGTAAATTTCTGAACAATTATGTTGTCATATATTTTAGTGTAGGACAACAAACATTTGTTCTGAAACTCTTCTGTAGCTTTGCTGATGATACCCTTATCCCCATCAGGTAGATCTTCATAATACAGCATAAGGATGTCATTGTTATTGTGAACCGCCATAACGATTATGGGGTCCCACCGGGCATGCCAGAGACGAGTGTCGACATAGAATTTTTGTCCCGTGCCGAGGACACACGCAGCAAGCCGGAAGGGTCTGCTCGATAGGGCTGTAGATCCGCCTAGTTTCAGCGCAGGGATGGTCGATCCTGCGCACTCCTCCCGAGATGTGCCAGTCAATTTGACACTGTAATTGATAAGGAGAGAAAGTTCATCAGTAATTAAGGGCGAAACTTACCGGTGTTGCCAGACAGTCCCGAATGTGCGGCTCTGAAAACCGATATGAAAGGAGATCGACTAAATAGTCGATTCCAGCATATTTATGAGAATAAATCGGTTAAAGCTCATTGGGTTGTATAAGAAGAATCGGTTATCATTCAAGATAAATGTCGTTATTTGAACAAATATTAATCAATGGCAATAAGATGTCAACAATGATTGGTTTATGCCAAGCCAATGATTACAGGTAACCGAACCCCTTTTTATATAAAGAAACAATTCAACATCACTTAACTGTTTAATAAAGATAAATCTAATAAACATATTAGATCTCATCTATCGCTATGACCAGTGGGGCATGAGGCAGAATCATGCAGGCCGTAGAAATAACAATAGACTCGACGACCCTAACTCATTACTAATATCAGTGGGAAATGAGGCAGAATCATGCAGGCCGTAATACAATAATAAAATCATGGGGCTAACATATCTTTCAACCTATCTTTACTTCAACGGTCTCATGATGCGAACTATTCGTGAAAGCACTCGATATCGGCTAAAACAAATTTATTAGCATAACGCATGACCTAAAGTCATGCTTTATCACGAATAGATCTATCAAATAACGATCCCCACTCCACGGTGTTAACAGTGGGGTGTGAGGTAGAATCACACAGGCCGTGATAACGGGCCATGGAACAGTTCTCTCTAGCCAATAAATCCACTCAAGACGCAACATGCTTTAACCGCACGCTATGCACGATCAAGATTGACGTAAAACAGCCGATAAAACATAGCTCATCGTTTAACGTATAGATTAGATCAGCTTCAGATTAACAAACGATGGGCTAAACAAGATATAAAGCCGATCTAGATCAATCTCAATCGGGCAGAGTGGTATTGTTGTAATTTAGATAAATAATAAAAGCAATAAGCAATATCGGTAACTTAATAAATCTATCAAAGACTGTCATTTTAAGGTAGAGCCGATAACTTGACCTTGATCTAGTTCATGCAGTGGGGGTTGACCGGATCAATGCAGCCATACTTGAACTTGGCAAGAATCGATAACTAACTTATACCAGAGTCGCAGTGGAGGTCGACTGGATCGATGCAGCCGTACGAACAGAGGTATAAGCCATGACGGTACTTACAACAAGCAGTGGAGGTCGATCGGATCGATGCAGCCGTACTTGCTGAAGAACTCGCCGAGATCTACTCTACTCCTACTCCTAAGAGGTGGCCGGAGCCGAAAAAGTAAATAACTTGTATATTGGATTGATTGTTGTCCTTTTACAATAGTCGGGGGTTGATATTTATACCCGGGACCTGCGCATGACTCCTATCTAAGCACGACTCATCACAATTTTGACCCTAGAGAAAACATTCCTAATTTAAGATAACTTGGACTCTAATCTTTCTCTTTTTGTAGAGTCCAACATGTTTCGTCCTGGCGCCGAACGTAGCCTTTGTCGTTATCCGCTGACGCTATCTGAAGAAAGCCGATTCTAATTTTTGCATCCGAATCAGCTGGTTCTGATCTGCACGCAATTGATTCCTTGATGACATGATCTTGGGAGCTTTCGAGTCCCTGCGACTCTTCTTTCAAATTTTGGTGTAAACAGCACTTCTTAGATGATCATACCTTCTAAAGATTTTGCAACACCAAAAAAATTCTTGGCCACTAACATGTGCAGGTCTCCTCTCCTGTCCAGATTGGGTGTATGCCTATGTTGATGCCGAGACTAATAGCAGCCCAAGAGTGATCAACATAAATCTAGTTATAGCCGGTGAATTTTCCCGTGTATGGCACTAATTAAGAAGCTCCTATTTCTTTTCCTTGAATGCCATCATGAGTGACTTCTGAAAACTTTAACCGAATAAGAATGAATAAATAGCAGGTAGAACATATAGAGCTAGCTACAAAATGAACTTGTCCAGCAAGCAGAACACTACAAAAATAATGTAATTGAAATCCATAATCGTGGTCAGTATTACTCATGTAAATATTAGTATTTCCAAATTAATTCCTAGGAATTTTCGGCATAATTGCAAGCTTCAAAATGGCATGGACAACCAAACCAGAGCACGGTATATATTGCTCAAAAACCTTAAAAGCAATTCTTGGATTTTCTCTATACCATGGATTCTTATATACTAAAAATATGCTATTTTTTGTATATTTCCATTCACCAATCTTACGAATTAATAGGAAGCATGGAAGCAGCAGCAATGTCAACATTTACAAATCTTACCTAATTATTATCCCATTCTTCAGCAGGGCAAGAAATAAAAACCCAATGTTGTAAAAGCACACATGCCTGGGAGATCCAAAGGAATGGGGAAAAAGATAGGGCCTTTTTAGTTCACTGATTACTAAGAGAAAAATCGAACAATTCAATAAGCTGCAATATATGTACCCTAATGAAGCCAGCCATGGTGTTACTGTAGTTATAGTACAGCAGGTTGCCCAGGTTTTCGATTTTGCTCTCATCAATACCTACCTTCTCAACCATGTACGGCCTGTTCGCTTGTTGGTTTCAGCTAGCCCAAACCAGTCAGTCAACAGTGTTTTTCTCTCACAATTAACCAGTACCAGCCAGCCCAAACCAGCCCAGAAACCAACCAGCGAACAGGCCGGTAATCTGGAGTGAATGACGACAAACGCAAAAAGGTATAGGCGTTCGGTTCACTGAAAGTTTAGAGTAAAAACAAACAGCAGTCAGTAACAACAGAGAAGAAGAGCTTCACTAATGTTCTTCTTGACGTGGCCTATGATCCCGGAGCCTAGCGGGTACAGGTGTGCCGATGTCTGCAGCCAAGAAAAAGTCAGAAAACCTTAGCATTCCGTGAAGAGGTAGAAGACCTTGCGGCAGCGGATCTCGTCGGCACCAGATCAGAGGGAACCTGGTGGTCACGCCATGTGAAGAGAGGGGTGGCGCTAGCCGCTAGGGAGGATAGGCGTGGGGAAGAAAAAGATCAATCCGGGAGCGCCATAGCCAGTGGCATCCTCGAGGTGAGGTCTGAGGCCGAGTGAAGGCCGGAGGAAAAATTGACACTGATGCCAGCGCGACACGTTGCTCGTGAGGGAGGGAGTCGCGGTGCCAGCGTGCAGCCCGCCCTGCCGCCCCCGGCAACGGCGGCCCCATCCGGCTCCGCGCCTCGCCAGCCAGCGGCGCCCCACCGAGCGGCGCCGTCCCACCGCTGAGGTTGTGCTGATTGCTGAAAATGCCGATTGTAGGCGGCGGCATCGTATGATTTGGGGAAAGATCGAGGGAAGTGAAATCAACGCAAGCCTGCGCGGGAGGGCGAGGGAGGACAGACACACTAAACATGAGCCGTCGGATTTGGATGAGTAATGAGAGAGAATGGCTAAGAGATAATCTGGTGCATCAGTTTTGATGGTGTTATATTTTTTGGGTGCATTCATGGGTATGGATGTAGCATAGGTCATGACTGTGGAGTAGGTATTTGTTGTGTGGCTGTAGATTTATTTTAACTGGTGTATTATAGGGTAGGATAGATTTAACTTACACTCTATTGCCCGTACAATATTTGCATGTCTAAATTGGTATTGATCACTTCGTTCGTGTATGTTATCTAAGATTCATTGGTCCCTGTTAATTGGACTCTGCAAAATCAATCATAGTTTTGTTGTATGATCAGACATTCAATTTTTTATAGGCTCATGTCCACTCATGGTTTACATTGATTTGTTGGTCTTTCAACCCAGCCCAGCAGTGGCCGGTTTGGTCTAGTTACTGTGGTTTGTAGAGGGCACGGCTGAGTGGGTTAGACTCAATTAGTTCTTCAGTTTGCTGCTACACAGAACACTGTTTCTCATATTCCTCTAGCAATTCATATGATGCTACTCGCTTATAACCACTAATGGAACCTGGAAAGGACGGTACCAAGTGGCTAGCCATTCAGTTTCAGGACCAACAAGTCAACAACAGTACACCTACGGACGACGACCAAGAAGGAGCAGCAGCCAAGTGCTTCCTTGGTTTCTCTGATTTTGTATTACAGGTAACTTTGTGGTTTGTTCTTTACTTCTCTGGATCTAAATATGTGATTTTTGTTTGTAATAATGTTTTACAATCCCCTTTCTTGCTGATAGTTTGTGGATAGATTGTTGAATAGATAGCCAGGGTTCTGGGAGTTATTTATCCCCATATCAGATGGAGGAACCGGAGTTAGTAGGAGTTAATCTTCGATAACAATGGAGGAGGAGGAGGAGACGAGAGATGACAGTAAGATCGAGAGGGGCCACTCTATTAATCTGTATATGGTGCCAGCGGTTGTTGTAGAGGCGAGGAGCACTCAGGGGACTGGTGAGACAGATGCAGCGGTGTCAGGAACCAAGGATGCAAGCGCCGAGAAGGTAGAGCAATCCGGTGGTGTTGGTCAGAAGTTGCAAGAGTGAGCAGGTCGAAGTTAAGAAAGTTAAGTCGAAGGTTGTGTACATGCTGCCAACCTTGTCAATTAAGAAGGCTGGATCAGAGTGTTCAAGTGCTCACCATTGACAGAAGGATGAGAACTCTACAGCTTAGGCTATCTATTATCCTGAAGTTAAGAGCTTAGATCATATTTTTTTTGTTTGTATCTCTATATTAGTAAATAAAACAGTGTAATAAAAGAACACAGTTGACCACTCGCTCTGACATGTAACCGGTGTGTTTGAACATTCATAAGGACTTTTTTTTTACTTCTGGCTATTCAGCTTCTAGACCCTTTATCCGTCCCTTCCATTTGCTTGTAAGAGCAACTATTTTTGAGAGTATACCTATCAAAAACATCGTAGTAGTATTGTTGATGATGTTGAGGCAAGAATGCCTCATTTAGAAGTTTCTTTTTTTAAGAAAACATTTACGTGTTTCAGTGGCATGAATATCTATGAAAATATACTGTTTTGTATGAAAATTGGCACCGTGTTTTGTAGCATATTTATGTGAAAAACTTAAAATATAAGTTTGTTACCCGTTGCTACCTAGTTACAAATAAAAACCAACTCAGAACAAGTGCACGAGACAAAACATCAGCGCTTATAGCCAAACAGGGAGTACTCTTATTAAGTTGGCAATAACCCATAGTACAAGCCATACACATATGCTGGCCGCACATAACAATGAGACGAAAACACAACTTGCATCAAGCAAGAGACTTGACAATAGGGCAATAGTTCTTATATGTTCTTATATAAGAAAGCAATGACTAGTAATTGTCGCTGCTTCAAGCTTCCCAATATGTGGAGGCGCACAATATAGGCCACAAGCATTTACAGGTCCCTTAGAACCCGTGAATCTTGATGTTCTCTTTCTTCGCAATCCCAGCCTACCAAGACAAGTAACATTTACATGATTAGTATAAACAGAAGGAACATTTATGAGTCTGCTAAAACAGTATTCAGTTCAGCTCTGAAGATTCTGAATACCTGAACTAGGAAAGTAGCAACATTCTTGCGCTGATCACCTTGGAGCTGAATGACCTGCAGAGGACAAACACATCGTCAGTATACCCACAGCCAGCAGGTACCATTTCATTTTGTGAATTTGAAACGTATCACTCTCGCATCTTACCTGGCCTAGCTCTGGATCCTGGACTACAGTACCATTGCAGCAGAATTCCTTCTTGAGATCCTTGAGGATCTTGTTGTAGCTGAACTCTTTCTTCAGTCCCTGGACTGTAGTCAGACTCTTTCTGCCGTTGCGCTGCTGGATGCGCACATGCACATAATCCTTTGTTCCGGGACCAGCACCAGAGTCCTCAGCATTTGCCTCAGCAAACGGATCTATCAGAGATGATGCCACACCATCAGATTCGCATGCACACATGAATACATAAAAAAGAACCAAACTCAAGATGAAATTCGTGCATGTCATGTCATCAATGTATTCAGTAATACTATTCAGGAAACTAGAACATGCTATGCTAAACCACAACGTAAGAAAACATGGAATCATGGATGTGAAAAGTAACGAGCATACCAAAGGCAGATGGAAGCGTGACGTCGAGATCAGACATGAAACTTGGTTGTTGAGGTTTGATTGGCACCGAGCTGATCACGCTTTGATTTGTTGATCTTAAGCAGAAGCTGCCAAAATCATATTATCAACCACATGCTACACAAGCCGAAACATTTGAGAAGTAAACAGATTGATGATGCAGAGATAGGACGGTAGCGATCAGCAAGTTACGGACAATCATCCACACCATACTCGGTCAAACATACCCCAGGGTTCCAAAATCACTCTCATATAACAGCTGAACAATATAATATAACAGCTGGACAATAGATCTAGAAACGCGCTAGACAAATGTTCAGATTTCCTCAAATCCCATCCCAGATCTTCTCTCTCACGAATCGAAGCCCAAACACTACAAACACGCCTACTTCCCATCCAAAACAGGGAGCACGCCTACGAATCGGGTCGAAACCCATGATTCGACTGAGTGACCTCACAGCATAAAAATTCCCCCGAAAAACCCAGCTGCTCAGCATCCCGAATAGATCCAATCAATTCAACAACCGCCCCGAAGCCCAGAGGTCGTGAACAACCATCCCCTCTATCTCTAAGAATCATAGGACAAAAACTAACACATCGCAAAACTAGGGACCTTCTGAAGACAACGATCCGAGATCCGTTGGTTATACCAGAGCCGATTCGCGGCAAAAAGCGATCGAACCCCTCCAGATCCCCAAATCCTAGGGCTAAGAACGAGACGACGACGACGACGACGACGACGAATGTGAATTGAAGGGAGGGGAAAGGGGGGCTGTGCTCACCTCTCGCTTTCCTGGAGGAGGCGTGGAGCGCACGCGGTTGGAGGCGAGAGGCGGATAAGACTTGACCAGGACGCAGGAGCTGTCTGACTTGCGCCCTTCCACCGGGTTTGTTGGCTTTATAGGCGTGTGATGCGTATAATTTGGTGGGCGAAACGCCGTTCCGAAGGAAGCTGGCTAATTATGCATCCCCACAGGCCACACGGCTCTATTGTAGGGCTCTGGATTCCTGCCGACCTATCGAGACGGATGCCTTTTTTTTAATTTCTTTTTCCTCCCTGGTTTTATTTGCTCGCTTCTATGGAACTTCTTTTTCATAGTTATTTGATTTTCAATGAAATTGAATAATGGCAGTGCTAGCCCTCGAACGTCCGAATAAACATGTGTCAGGAAGTCCGCACCTGCACCTCGTTCCACACGCTGCACCCTGCGTATCGTTTGATCCGCGCGATGTCTGCGCTGCCACTCGACCCCACGTGGCGTTTGCGCCCCTGCCTGACCCTACGCAACATCTGCATCTCGACTGACCCCTCGCGCCCCCTCCAGTAGGTGCAGCAGACAGGTAACATTCAGATACAATACTTGAAACATACGTTTGAAGACAGATGAAACACTTACAAAAACATATGAAAACACTTGAAAATCGCAACATCCAGAACAACACTCGCAACTTATGTGTGAAACATATCATCCAGATAAACACATTTGCAGCATACGTACGTCTAAAAAACAAATGAAACATTGAGAACAAACGTTTGCAACGTACGTGTACAACCATTACAACATATGCAACATCCCGATCTACTTTTGCAACGTCCTTAAGAAACACTTGCAACATACCTCTGAAACATCTAAAACACTTACATACGTGTGGCAGAACCGTCCGAAATAACACGATTCCGGATGTGCTCGTCTTTCACTAGACACTAAGTACATCGAAAGTGAGCTACATCGGTCAGTTCCGTCGAGCACACCCCAAGAAAGAACTCGAAACAGTCCACGTTTAAATCCAGAATCCTATAATGAGTACGAGTTTACGATACTTAGTCCATTTCATAAAACAAGAGTTCTTGAAAATTATTTATTACAATACCAGAGTTCAGAGTGCGATAATTAAACAGCGGAATGCAAATAAACATCTAGCAAAAACGATACAAGGATCCGTCTGTGCCCACCAGAAGAATCCTCCACACAACAGCTACTCTTCAAGTTACACCTGCAACAGGGGTAAAATAAACCCTGAGTACATAATGTACTCGCAAGACTTACCCGACTAGTGAAATAGCTTTCCGACTCTAATGAGTATGATAGACAATATGGGTTTGATGTTTTCTTTCGTTTGCGAAAATCATTACTAATAGTTCATCCTTACAGTCATGTTTTATTAGCAGTCATGATTATTTCTTTAGCTAACCATTCTAGGTAAGCACATGTTCTACTTTCAAGCAAGAGTTGAGCAATCAGAACCATTTCATCATCTTTCATCTTCTAGTTCTTACTACGGTGCTAGACCATAGCCAAGTCATACCATCTCAGGAAAACAGCGATTCGCGAACAAATGTATCACAGCTGGGTATCCCGAAACACACGTCTCGTTTATACCCTAGGCACAAATAAGACCAAACCATTCCACTCCTATCAAGGGGTACAGGTCCCTGTCCAAACTTGAACTTCAAGCCCTCACATTTGAGACTCGGTCTCAATATGGTGCTTAGACCTCCACCTTTCCCCGCCTCCAATCAGTCAGTCCGGAAAGAGCCAGAACCCACGAAAAGAGCGTAACGAGCCTTCTCACTCCTATAAGTAAGTGTGTACTCAGGTTAATAAGTCTGTGATCTGACTACCATCCACAACAACGGACGGTTCTTAATCGACATGAATAGGGAAAATAGTGTAACCGAGTTAAGCCTCGTTGGTCGCGGGACACAACCTATTACACCCACCAATACCCATACCATATCCCTGCCCTATCTCTATTTTTCCTTTCATCATTTCATTATGAGAGTAATAATAATCACCTATTGTGAGTAACGGCAGGTTACTCACGCTACCGAAAACCTAAGCATAGCAGCTACTCAAACCTGTACTAGTAGGGCTTATAGGACTGATATATCTATGCATGTGGTTTTCATAAAAATCCTGTAACATAAATGCACATCATATATATATATTCAGTTATTATAAAAAATAAGGGGTTATGCACCGGGGCTTGCCTTGGGCAGGCGCGGTGTCAGCTGAGTTAGTCAGTGGCGGCTCCGGGACCTCCTCCAGCATAAGAATCTTCCCCTTGTACTCCTCGACGATCTCCTCAAACTCGTGATCGCCGGTGGTCACGATCTCCGCCAACTCGTTCTCTACATGCATGTGATGATGATGCAACACTTATCATTTAAGCAACAACAGCTTCTAAACTAAGAATACGCATACTAAGCTACTAAGCTAACTATCATCTTTACCAAACAAATGTTGGGTTCAACTAACAAACACCTAACTTTACAAATGAATGATATATCTTTATTTCTACTAATGATTTAATGCATATTTGAAACAAAGACCATTTAACTACCCTAATGCTTAGTCTATTCTAAAGCTACAAAAATTACAGCGTGCACATAAATAATACAATGATGCCTGTGCATGGCACCAGTGACGAACAGGGCCACGACATGGAGCCGTCCCTATTGATATCTACAGGATCGATGGGACCCGCATGAAGGAGAAGAAGGACCCGACAACCCTAAAAGCCTTCTTCTCTCTTTCATTCTTCTCTTTTTCCTCCTCTGTAACCCGCGCTTTCCCTTCGCCTATAAAAGGGGAAGCAGGGCGCCCCATGAAAAAAGGTCGTGACACAAGAGCACGACACGAGCACATGGCTGAGCGGCAAGCGAGCTCTTAGCACCCGTTCACTCCTTCCACCAGAGACTTTGGATCCCCTCCCTCTCTCGCCTGTTTGTAACTCCTACTGCAAACCAAGTGCCGGTAACACGAGCAACAACAAACTAAACGTAGGGACATTCCGCCCGAACTAGTATAAACCCTTGTGTCCTCCAAGCACACCATCTGAGCCAGACGCGCAAATACAAATTTACTCGTCGGTGGTCCAAAAACACTGACAACTGTCCAACCGGAGAGTGATAGAACACCCTCCTCACAACCTATACCTTCTACAACTGTGGGTGACTAGAAGATCCAGTGATCGCCCTCTTGCGCTTCCACTCAGCCTGAGAGTCACGCTGAAGTTTCTCCATAGCAATGGCAGCATTCATCAAAGCGCCAAAGCTCTGATAGCCCCCTGTATACAGCTTCTCTTGCAAGATGCAAGAGAGACCACGATTGAAACGGTTCATCTTCTTCTCATTAGTATCCACATTAGTCCCAGCATACTGTGTAAGATGGTTGAATTTGTTCACATACTCCATCACAGTCATGTTTCCTTGCTTCACTCGAAACTTCGGACACTTCTGCTCAAAGAAACCAAAGAACAATATAGTAATCGACGAAAGGCAGTGGTAAACTTCCACCAAGTCACATGGTGGTCCATAGGCTGCATGGCGTTGAAAGTGTCCCACCAAGCACTGGCAGATCCCAGAAGCTGCTGTGTGGTAAAGCGCACCTTCTGCTCGTCAGTTATATTGAGCAGCTAAAACTTCTGGTCTAGAATACGAAGCCAATGCTCCACATCCAGAGGCTTAGCAGTCGGCGTGAACGTTGGTGGGTGTGTCCCCAAAAAGTCCTAATAGGAATAGGGCCTCTCAGGACCGCGGGCACCACCCTCGTTCCCACCATTGCCAACGGGGCCTCCACGAGCGATGCCACTAATAGCCTGTGCCAACATCTCCAGGGCACAGGCTGACTCGCGATGAGTAGCCATCATCTCAGTCATCATCTCGGCATAGGTCATCGAAGGCAGTGGTGGTGGCGGAATAGGAGGACCAAGGGATGGGGCCTCGTGGCTCTCCCCATTGGCATTGCCATGATCATCGCCACTACCATTTTCGTCCTGGTCTTCACCAAGACCACGGCCCGTCCCAGCACCGGTGCTCCCACGACCAGACCTCAGGTTCATCTATAAATAGATAGGAACCCACCGTTAGGGACAAGGCCTTCATATTTAGAAACAAAAGGTTAAAGAGATGATAAGGTCCAATAAATGGTTACTAGTGAGACTTTTCCTTAAGAGTTAAAGCATTTCTCTTTATTTATTATCCTATCAATTTACTATCTAAAAAGTATACGTGTGGGGGAGTTTAGTTTAAGCAAGATTCTCTTTTCATGATACATGGATCGACCTATTCGTTCGCTCAGGCCAGAATATAGCAACATTCGTATATAATTTTTGGCACATCGTACTCTCACTTTCCGTAAGGTAACGATTCTTATGCCGCGTAAGTTAGTGTACCTATAGAAGATTGATTAGATAAAACCAGTGCCACTATCCTAGATAGACCATATTACTAGGGCTTATATTTATTTACATAATTTATCGCATTCTACTTTTCGTAAAGCTTTTGTTGGTTAAATTTTAGGTTTAGAAAAGAGTTTTAAAACTCCTAGACTCATTATTGGGCTCTGATACCACCTGTGGTAAAACTGCTCGAAATAACACGCTTCCGGAGGCGCTTGTCTTTCACTAGACACTAAGCACCTCGAAAGTGAGC